TATATATATATATATATATATATATATAAACTCTCACTGGTACATTTTCATCTTTAAATCACTTCTTGGTCTGCTGCCTTCATACGTCTCCTCCTACACGTCACTGCGTGAGTGCAGCTACAGCGTGCGCTCTCAGGACATTATTACCTGCAGTGTTCCCTCAGTGAGGACTGAACTAGGCAAAAGGGGCTTCTCCTACTCCGCTCCTGTTTCCTGAAATACCTTGCAAAAAGATCTGAAGCTCTCGACCTTGACCTCACTAAGTGGCTTCAAACAACTGTTAAGTTCATGGCAAAACCCAATACAGACATGTTCCTGTTTTTAGTATTTTATGTCATTTTATAATGAAGTTGTTTTTGTTTCATTTTTGTACATTATTTCTTCTATTTACTTTTCATTTTATATGATTGTCTATTGCTGTGTGTACTTCATCTGTGTTCTTTGTTTTAAACATGTCTCTTTTGTAAATGAGTCCTTGTGGCTCAGTGAGACTAACTTTTATAAATAAAGGTTGAATGAATGAATGAATGAGTGAATGAAAGGTCACTTTCAAAAATTGGGTTGCCAATTCAAAACCCAAGAGGTCACCCTAATCATTTTGGGAAAGTATGCTTTCAAAATATTGCTCAAAAGTGTAGTTTCCTCAAATGATTGTGGTGACTGGTGGGACGGCAAATGAATAATCTATTGTGGCTGAGACCACTAGTGGCCACCATTGACTTCGCCATTGCACTTTGCACCTGTTGGAGGATAAAAATGTTCTGTCCACTCGCCAGGATCCATCACTCTGCATAACTTCAGATAAGCCAAACAAGGAAAAGAACTACTTCTGTTCTTAAACTAGGGCATTAACAGAGTACTCGAGTAATCTACACATCGATTGCTAGGACATCTATCGAGGTTAAAAATGTAACGTCGAGTAACCGTAGTGACGTCATATTATGTGACCGTAGGGGGCGGTGTTGCACTGTTGCAGGTCACAGAGTATGGTGTAACACCGGGTCCAATCCACCGAACCAGAACCAGTTTCCTCTGACCTTGTTTTACAGACAAAAAGCAAAAAATATTAATCTCTAAACCTATAAAAAAAAATCTATAAACATATTAATCTCTAAAACTAAACTTAATGCGCACCACAGCTGGCGGTGGTGTGGGGTGGTCGACCCCCCCCCCCCCACGTTAAGTTTCGTTTTTGACGTGCTGCATGTTTCTTCACGTTTGCAGTTTAATAATAATAACTAATAGTTTAGTTTTTCCTGTGACTTATTTGCAGTATGATAAATGGTAGGAGCATAATATACGCTCAAAATGTTTTGTTGGTCTTTTTTTGGTAAATAATTACCTTTTTTGCGGTTTTATTTATTTATTTATTTTTGTATCTTGAGATCTATGACGTCATCAAATACTCGAGTTCTACTTGGGTTTTATTATGTTAATGTCGAGTTTAAAAATTATATTCTCGTTCAACCCCTATCACACAGTGTAACTTCTACCCACTTGACTATCTTGCACCAAAAACATTAAGGAACGTTTACTTTCATTCCCTGTCCAGAAAAACACTCATCTAGCGAACTACAAACACTCACTATACAAATCCATCAGCAGTGGGGGACATTAGCGTACCATTTTTCATCTCGGCTTTGTTTTTGTTTAATACAAACAACATGGTAGAATTTGTTGTGTGTTTTAGCACACATGAGATAAGATCTGAATATCTGTAGAACTGAGTAATTTCTAAATCACCAGATATAGTCTAGCTATGTAAAGTCTGAGAACTGACACAGGTAGTTCTGCATTTTGTCCATGTCTCTATATGATTTAAGTTTTATAATGACATAAAAGTAACATATTATTTCTTACACTCCATTCCTTTGGAGACCATGATGGTTAACATGTTATAGCTGTGACAGCAGCAGGAGCGAAGGCTGCTCAGCACATGACTACCTCTCCACTGACCTGGTATCTTTGGGATGGTGATCTGCCTGCTACTGCTACCATCCCCCCCTTCTCCAAATGGCTTTATCTGGATGATATAATCCTCATCAGTGGGAAGAGCGAGCTCCACAGAGGTGGTGTTAGTTTCCATGACACTGGGCCGACTGTGCTGATTCTTCTTGTACAGAACCTGTGAACAAGGTTAAGAGTCGTCGCACCATGGCAACAAACACAAATTTCTGATGAAACCAAGTGACAGTGCTTACTTTGTAACCAGTCACTTCTGACTCATTGTCCAGGGCTTTGACCTGCTCCCAGTTCAAAATAATCTTAGAGTTTGATGCGTTCCACATCACTTTACCAGGTGGCTGACTGGGCGCTGCAAGGAGCAAATCACATTAGTGACCTCAAAGAAAACGCTGAGCAGTAAAGAAGAGCTCGACTTTGAGGTGATACTTGCGTGGTTTTTTGGTGGTCATGTTGACAGTGCTGCTGGGTGGTCCTGTCCCAGCAGTGTTATACGCCCTCACTGAGATGTAATATGTGGTGCTGCCTTTGAGCCCGAGGATAACAGCAGACGTTTGATTTCCTACGGTTCTCTGCATGCTGGCGATGTCTTCCCTTTCGCTTCTACTCCAGTACCTCAACTGAAAAGCAACAAGGCAGAACCACAGAAGTGAGCACAGAAAACACGACAGACACCTTAAAAGCTTTCTGTTACACCCTGTCAATGAAGTGCAAACTGAAAACAAGGACATGTGAACTCAACTGAATGCAAGATGTGAACTGGTCTGAAAACAAGCAATAGCAGCGTATGTGACTTGTGTGATGTGTGCCTCTGTCGTACCCATCAGATGTGTTATGGTTTGGGTTTGATGCTAAAGAGTGTAACATAAAAAAGTAGTGCAAACGAAAATAAATGTCTTTCCATAAACTCAACAGATAACATATTTTCTGACAGTGCAAATAATATCAGTCCTCACATGAAGTTTTGGTGCCTGTATTGAAATGCATAGGAAGCGATGCATTTCAATACAGACAGTGTTATTCACCTCTAAACAGTAAACACTTTTTTTCTTGCATAAATTATTATTTCTTATACGCTAACAAATGGAAAACTGCACCCACACAATATATGCATTAAAACAAGTAAGTATTCAGGGAAGTTTAAGAAATTCAGTTGTTTCTCTCCTTGAAGAAAAAAAAAGTATTTGCTATAATAATAATAATAATAATAATAATAATAATAATAATGTGTTACAGTACGTGTTGTCACCATTGTATGTTTCCATACAATGGCAAAATTGGCTCTGCATTTAACCCATCCACCCCCAGGTGGAGCATTGGGCAGCTAATGAAAGCAACCGGGGAGCAATTGGGGATAGGGTGTCCTTCTCAGAGACACTACGAGATGAGCAATGACTGGGGATCGAACCTGGGACTTTTGGGTCTCGAGTCGGCTGCCCTGCTTCTACCCCAACTCGACCATCCTATGAGGATAACTGAGAGTCTACACCAGCAAAATCACTCTACATTTGATTTGTTTTAGTACTGATTTAAAATGTTTACCACTGCTATGTATGCAAACACAAAAATGGCTATGCCATTAGCATCAGAAGCATTTGTAATGTGTGTGTGTGTGTGTGGGGGGGGGGGGGGGGACACACGGATGCGGTGGTTTGGGGGTCCTCCTCCAGTAAATGTTGAATAAAGTAGATACAATTTCCTGCATTCTGGTGTATTTTAATGGGTTGTTAAACATCTATGTTACCTGCATCTGTAAACACTTGATTCAATAACTATTTTAGAGAGCACGGCACAATGACCCCCACCCTGGTCGACAACTGCTGGCACTAACTAACTAGCTAAGCTAGCATGCAACACAGAAATGTCTCCCCCTCCTTCCCCCACCCTGTTTGGTGAGCTGTTGTAGGTAACCAGGAATACACGGAGTGGACTTTTAGTGGTTTTAGTATTCTCCTTTTAATCAAGTGGAATGAATTTGTTCATGAAGAAATAGAAACAGCACTGCGTGAGCTAATATTTTGTGTCAAATGTGTGTGTGTGGGTGGGGGTGTACAAACAAATATTTTTTTAAATGTGAGGGGGACACGTTCTCTTCACATATAATTGTTGCAACACCTATGGGCTATGCCGTACTACCTTCTGAGATTTTTGAGATATTGAGCTACAGTTTGCTGTAGTAGTAGCTGAGAGTAATCCCCAACAAATAGCCGGAGCGCTTGCAGATTGATACATTTTCTGTTTAAAATTAGAGATGGCTGCCACAGCAACCTCCTCAAATCCAAAAATAGCTGTTTACTCAGTCATTTTTAAAGATGTAACCTACAATGATCCCCAATAGGTAATCTTAAGTGAAACTGTCACTAATTTATTTTTATTAATTTAAGATGGATGCCGGGCAGCACGGTGGCACAACTGTTAGAGCTGCTGCCTCTCAGCGAGCAGGTCCCCGGTTCAAATCGTGGTCCGGGTGCCTTTCTGGGTGGAGTTTGCATGTTCTCTCCATGCATGCGTGGGTTTTCTCCGGGTACTCCGGTTTCCTCCCACAGACCAAAAACATGTATGTTATGCTGATTGGTAACTCTAAATTGTCCGTAGGTGAGAGAGAGTGTGAATGTTTGTCTCGTTTGTCTCTATGTGGCCCTGTGACGAACTTGCGACCTATCCAGGGTGTACCCCGCCCCTTGCACAGTGATTGCTGGACTTGGGCACTGGCGACCCAAGTGACCCAAAATGGAATAAGCGGGTAAAGATAATGGATGGATGGATGGATACTTAAAATTCTATCTATCAAGTGTATTTTTATGTATAAAAATCCAAATGCTCATAGAACTATAAATGCTACTATGCTCTCTTGTTGACGCAAATCATCAAGACTGAGTTAAGTTGAACGCATTTTGAACACCATACGACACAATGTGTACTTGCTTAGCAACGTGTTGGCCATTGGTGTCAGAAGCATTTGTAATGTGTGTGTGTGTGTGTGTGTGTGGGGGGGGGGTGTCTGGGGGTCCTTCCCGAGAAAATTTTGAAAAAGTAGATGCCATTTCCTACATTCTGGTGTATTTTAACTGTTGTTAAACATCTACATGTATGTGACAGAGGATTTACTGATTATAACAAAGATTCCTTCAAGAAACCTCCCAATATAAATCATAAAATCATAAGGACTTCTGATCATTCTAAATTTGTCAAATGGCCTAAATCTCCTGAAGTGAAGGAGAATCATTTAAAAGTAATAAATAAGATATATCCTCTAGCCATGTTTCTTGAAATAAGATTTAAATTTGATGTTGATTTGTGTGCCTTTTGTAAATCAGAAGATGAATCCCTCAAGATTTTTTTTTTTCATGTGAATGCAAAGTCTTTGGTCAGACATCAGAAACTGAATTAATGTCCAACTTAACATTCCTTCTTTTGATGCTGATGCCATTTTACTTTATGTGGATAACTTAAGCTCAGCTTTCTCTGATGCCATAAATATAGTCGTACTTATAGCAAAGTACCACATTCACTGTAGTAAGAGGAGGGATAATAAGTCCTCCTTCCTGTTTGATGAACAATTTTAAGTCATACTATTCTTCATTAAGTAGATTAAAAAACTGCAAAACTGCTAAAATCATCTCACAACAGATAAAAATGTATTGTTTTAATTAAAACAATGTTTTTCATGTAGTCACACTCCTTTGTTTTTTATTTATTAAATTTTTTATGTTTTTTTTTTTTCTCTTTCATTATTTTGTGAAATGTAGTTATGACACCCTTCACGAGTTTGTATTTGTATATTGTTACGTGTTAATAAAATTCTAGAAAAAAAAAAAAAACTGATGAGCTTGTCAGCAGGTAAGGGGCGTTTACCTCCAGGACAAATTGAGGTTGTCGATTGGTCAGTTGCTGACACACCTACTGGATTGATTGACAGGTCGCGCCGTCGAGGATCCGACAGCACAAAAAAAAAAAAAAAAAAAACAACAACAGAGAGCTGTAGCTGCGGCACTGGGAGGAGGCGGGGCGGCCCAAATACAGTGGCAGCGCAGCAGTCTGTGTAGCGCAGGGCTCCAATAAAGCAGGAGATGACCAGACATTTTGCTTTTGCCCTCACTGCTCTGGGCCCCTTAGAGATCGTGGGCCCCTGGGCACTTGCCCAGTTGCCTGTATGGTTAATCTGGCCTTGAACTCAGTCAATTTGAAACAAATTGAAATATTATTTAGAGTGGTTATAGCTGAGAGTAATCCCCAACATGCACTCCTGAGTGCTGACAGACCAATAGACATTGTTTGTAAATCAAGATGGCTGCAACAGCAAACTTGATAAAAAAAAAAAATTAAAAAAAATTTTACTCACCCAGTTTTACAGATTAAGCTAAAGTTGTATGTGACAGTAGATGATCATAATCTTCAACACATCCTTTGACTAAATGTACGTAGTGAAAGGCACTATCAGACTTTCTGCAGGAATAGTTATATATTGCTCCTGTCCTGCTCTTTAATGGACATGCATTGATCAGTTTTAGTAATTTTCTTTAAGCATGTGCAATTAGAAAACATCCACGTTTTTTTTTTTTTGTTAAGATGCTGGATTTTAATAATGAACAAAATTAAAAAGACAAGAACTAAGTGAAGCACAAAGATGCTGTCTTAAACAGCTTTGTTGTGTGGATTAGAAGCTAAATGGTCATTCCCTTGGAGTGCTGGATGCACACGCTAATCAGGCTAGTTGCACTACTTAGATAAGCAACAAGAGAAATGCTGCTGAACCCACAGGCATGGGACTAGGCTGAACCATTATGCATGCAGCAAGCTATTGTCTTGTATGCCCAAGGTGCACAAGTCATCAATAATAGAAGAGAACAAGATTCAGCAGCATGAGTTTCCATATGCATTCACACAAATACAAGCATGTCTAATGCACACAAAGAAGGAGCTCACCTCGTAGCCTAGCACTCTCCTCCTGCTGGCGTTCCAGGGCAGAGCTTTCCACAAAACTTCTACTTCAGATGCGGAGAGGCTTTTGGCACGAACCCTGGTGGGAGCTCGGCTGGGCTCTGGAGTTGTTGGAAAAAATATTTTATAGGTAGGTTAGGTGACTCCCTAATTATAATTGTAAATAAATAAAATAAAGTGTTATGTGTTGTCATCAATGTATGTTCACACACAGCGATGAAGTTAGTTCTCTGCATGAACCCATCACACCTGAGATACACCCAGGTGGAGAGTGGGCAGTTATGTAAGCACCTGGGGAGCAATTAGGGATTAGGCATCTTGCTCAGAGATGCCACGGCATGTGAGCACGGTGAGGAGTTGAACCTGCAGCTTTCTGGTCCAAAGTCAGAGGAGGAGACACCATCTCGGCCCCCAAATATTGTGATAATAAATAATTTGAGACAAATTATAAAAGTGTTTTTCCACAGAATCTAATATTCTTAGGGTGTTTTAAAGAAGATAAATTAATTAATTTAATTTATCCATCCATCCATTATCTTCCGCTTATTCCGAAGTCGTGTCGCAGGGGCAGCAGCTTGAGCAGGGAGGCCCAGACATCTCTTTCCACAGCCACCTCTTCCAGCTCTTCTGGGAGGATTCCAAGGCGTTCCCAGGCCAACCAGCGTGTTATGGGTCTTCCCTGGGGTCTCCTCCCAGTTGGACATGCCAGAAGCACATCTCTAGGGAGGTGCCCGGGGGCATCCTTACCAGATGCCCGAACCACCTCAACTGGCTCCTCTCGACGTGAAGGAGTAGTGGTTCTACTCTGAGTCTCTTCCGAATATCTGAACTTCTCACCCTATCTCTAAGGGAGAGTCCAGCTACCCTGCGGAGAAAACTCATTTCAACCGCCTGTATCCGTTATCTCATTCTTTCAGTCACTACCCAGAGCTCATGACCATAGATGAGGGTAGGAACGTAGACCGACCGGTAAACAGAGAGCTTTGCCTTACAGCTCAGCCCTCTCTTCACCACAACGGACCGGTACAGAGTCCGCAATACTGCAGATGCTGCACCTCCGTCTGTCAATCTCACGCTCCATTCTTCCCTCACTCATGAACTTAACAGTCACGTAAACATGATTGTTAAATAATGTTTCTTCCAACTGAGGCGGCTGACCAAACTGAAGCCCATATTGTCCAAAAATAACCTGGAGACAGTAATACATGCATTAATTACATCTAGGCTTGATTACTGCAATTTGCTCCTGTTTGGTATCAGTCAGATCTTCATTGCACGACTACAACTTGTCCAGAATGCAGCAGCCTGATTTTTAACCAGTACAGGCAAAAGAGAGCACATTACACCAGTTTTGGCCTCACTGCACTGGTTACCGGTTCACTTTCGAATCCAGTTCAAAATACTCCTGTATGTGTAAGGATCTGGTGTTTTGAACCCAAAAATGCAGGGAGGACTCAAACAACTCAGGTTAAGAGTAAAGAAAAGTATTTAATGAAAAAAAAATAAACAAAACGGCTGATTTGGACAATAAAAGTTTACATGAATAATAAGAAGTCATGAAGGGAGACAAAAACCAGGATGAAGTGAAGGGCATGAAACAAGAGGCAGAAGTCTTCAGGAGGAAATGACCAGATACCAGACAACTGAACACACTGACTTAAATACACCAACACTGACAAGTTAAATGACAAACAGCTGGGAGAACAACAGGTGAAGAAACCTGGAACTTAATGAGGGAGTAGTAACTTAGACAGACTACATGGAGGCAAAACACTAGGCAGTGGAAAAAAAAGGAACCAAGAGAAGGATAAGCACAATAATTACAGACAAGAGGATACAATATGACAGAACAGGAAAGTAAATAAAGACAAAAAGAACACAAAGAAAACAGACAAAGTGCAGACTATGACAGTATGTTTACAAATCGTTGGACAGTTTCACTCCCCCCCGCCCCCCATCTCTCTGATCTGCTACAACCGTATGTCCCACCACGTTCCCTGACAACAGTGGACCAGTTGCTCCTCACAGTTCCAGGAACTCGTCTTAAGCACAGAGGGGACAGGGCCTTCTCTGTAGCAGGACCAAGACTTTGGAACGAGTTACCTCTGTTGTCAGACAGGCCCCCTCCCTCTCGGTTTTCAAGTCCCGTTTAAAAACCCTCTACTATTCGGTAGCTTTCAACACCAGATGATCTGTGTTTTGAACCTGAATGCTCCACATTGGTTAGTCGTTATTATCTGCATCATTTTTATGTCTATATTCTGATTTACCTCATTTTGTATATTGCTTTGTGTGTTGCCTGTTTTTCTGTTTGTACAGCACTTTGGTTGGCCTTGTCGCTGTTTTAAGTGCTCTATAAATAAAATGGTATGGTATGGTATGAACAAAACCCCGAGATACTTGAACTCCTCCACTTGAGGCAGAATCTCACCCTCGACCTGAAGAGAGCAATCCACACTTTTCCGGTTGAGGACCATGGCCTCAGATTTGGAGGTGCTGATTCTCATCCCAGCCGCTTCACACTCTGCTACGAACTGCTCCAGTGAGAGCTGAAGATCACAGCACGATGACACCAACAGGACCACATCATCTGCAAAGAGCAGAGATGGAATCCTGAGGCCACTGAACCGGAAACCCTCCGCCAGCTGGCTGCACTGAGAAATTCTGTCCATAAAAGTTACGAACAGAATCGGTGACAACAGGCAGCCCTGGCGGAGTCCAACTCCCACCCTGAAGGGGCCCGAATTACTGCCGGCAATATGAAACAAACTCTCGCACCGCTTGTATAGGGACTGAACAGCTCGTAACAACGGGCCTCCAATCCCATATTCACAGAGCACCCCCCACAGTGTACCCTGAGGAACACGGTTGAATGCCTTCTCCAAGTCCACAAAACACATGTAGACTAGATGGGCAAACTCCCATGACCCCTCAAGGACCCTAGTGAGGATAAAGAGCTGATCCAGTGTTCCATGGCCAGGACGGAACCCACATTATTCCTCCTGGATCTGAGGTTCGACCAATGATCGGACTCGCTTCTCCAGTACACCTGAATAGACCTTACCAGGGAGGCTAAGGAGAGTGATGCCCCTATAATTGGAGCACACCCTCCAGTACCACTTTTTGAAGAGGGGAACCACCACCCCAGTCTGCCAGTCCAGCGGCACTGCCCCCGATGTCCACGCGACGTTGGAGCCTCAAAGCTTTTTAAATACCTTGACGATCTCAGCCACGGCTATGGATGGATCAACCCCAAAGTCCCACAACTCAGCTTCCTCCATGGAAGACGTGCTGGTGGGATTGAGAAGGTCCGAGAAGTATTACTTCCACCTCCCAATGATATCACTGGTTGAGGTCAACAGCTCCCCACCTTCACTGAACACAGTGTTACTAAAGTGCTGCTTTCTCCTCCTCAGCCACCTGATGGTTTGCCAGAATCTCCTTGAAGCCGACCGAGAGTCTTTATCCAAGGTCTCACCGAACTCCTCCCACATCCAAGCTTTGGCCTCAGCAACAGCCAAGGCTGCACATCGCTTGGTCCTCCGGTACTCCTCAGCTGCCTCCAGAGTCCCACTGGCCACCGAGGCCCGATAAGACTCCTTCTTTAGCTTGACAGCCTCCCTAATCCGGGGTGTCCACCACCGAGTTCGTGGATGACCACCGCGAGAAGCACGGACAACCTTGCGGCCACAGCTCAAGACAGCTACTTCAGCAAGCGAGGTGTGGAACATGGTCCACTCAGACTCAACGTCCCCCACCTCAGCTGGGATGCAGGGTGGTCTGTCCGGCATCTTCCTCCACCATCTGATCCAACTCATTACTAGGTGGTGATCAGTTGACAGCTCAGCTCCTCTCTTTATCCGAGTGTCCAAAAGAAACGGCTGCAAATCAGATGATACGACTATGAAGTCAATCATCGATCTACGACCTAGGGCGTCCTGGTGCCAAGTGCACTTATAGACACCCTTATGTTTGAACATGGTGTTTGTGATAGACACACTATGACTAGCACAGAAGTCCAACAACAGAACACTGCTTGGGTTCAGATCAGAGAGGCTGTTCCTCCCACTCACGCCCCTCAAGGTCACACTGTCATTACCCATGTGGACATTGAAGTCCCCCAGCAGAATAAAGGAGTCCCCAGCTGGCACACCTTGCAGCACCCCTGCCAAGGACTCCTAGAAGGCCAGATACTCTGAACTGTAATTTGGCGCGTAGGCACAAACAACAGTCAGAGCCCGTCCCCCCACCCGAAGGGAAGCCACCCTCTCATCTACTGGGGAAAACTCCAACACACAGGCACCAAGTCGGGGGGCTACAAGTAGACCCACACCAGCTCGACGCCTCTCACTATGGGCAACTCCAGAGTGGAATAAGGTCCAACCCCTCTCAAGGAGATCAGTTCCAGGGCCCATGCTGTGCGTCGAGGTGAGTCCAACTGTATCTAGTCGTTACCTCTCAACCTCGCGCACAAGCTCAGGCTTCTTCCCTGCCAGAGAGGTTACATTCCATGTCCCAAGAGCTAGCTTTGGTAAGCCAGGGTCAGAGCATCAAGGTCCCCGCCTTCGGCCACTGCCCTTGGCATCATGCACCCGACTTTTATGGCCCTTCCTGCAGGTGGTGGGGAAGGTAAACCCGTGCTGCTCCTTCGGGCTGAGCCCGACCGGGCCCCATGGGCAGAGACCCAGTCAGCAGGCGCTCGCTGACGAGCCCCTCCCCCAGGCCTGGCTCCAGGGTGGGGCCCCGGTAACCCACGTCTGGCCAAGGGACACTGAGTTCTTTGTTTTGTTTTGTCCATAAAAATCTTCTGAATCACTCTTTGTCTGGCCTTTCACCTAGGACCAATCTGCCTTGGGAGACCCTACCAGGGGGAATTAATTGCCCCTGACAGCATAGCTCCTAGGATCATTCAGGCGCACAAACTCCTCCTCCACGATAAGGTGGCGGTTCAAGGAGGAATAATTTAATTTAATTTAGTTTAATTTAATTAATTAGTTTAATTTAATCTTTGTTTTACCAGGAAGGTAAAACAACAAAAGAAGATGTCAGACAGATTAATGTATAAATCTATAATTTCTGTAGTTTTACAGCTTTTTTTATA